TTGTATTCTATTGAAATAATAGAAATATTGGATAATCGTTCTTGTCCGATAGTTGATCTTAAATAATTTTTTATTAAGTTTAACTTGCTAAAACTTCTCTCACACGAAGCAATAGAAACGGGAAGAGTTAGAAATATTCGAAGAGCGACATTGATATTTGGGTAAGGCTCAATTAAGCCAAAATCATGAAGAGCCTGTAGAATATTAAGCGGAGATGCAGTTTCTATATTTTGTATAAGAGTCGTTACTTCAAACTTAAAACTTTCAATTTCACTTGTGAATTCGTACTTTTTTAAATCTGCTATATTTAATAGCGAGATCTGCAGCTGATTTTTTTTTTTTAAATCAGCAACACTCATGTATTGTAAAGAAGAGCCATAGAGAAAGCAAAATTTAGCCTTTTTATCAGTAACATTTTAAAGACCTCGGGGGCCCCTTCGAGGCCCTTCTCGGCCGCATAGTTCGCTTACCGCTTAATCCGCCATCATGCGTATCACAATAAAGCAAAAAATTATGTCAGAATTTCTGCACGCCTTTTACAACCTTCAGACTAAGATTTTATTCGAGAGTTACCACGTTTTCTATTTAGCAATTAAAAAAATCCCCGGGCAGATTAATTTTTTTACAAAATGTTACCTTTACAGATTTCTAGCTCTCTGCACACTAGAAAAATCTAGAAATACAGTTTTGTATATCGTAATAATATTAGTCGTCGCCAGAGAGCTCTATAAAGTAGAGAAAAATCTTTAAATTTGAAAACTATAAACATAAATTTAAATTTCTCAAAAAATAAACAAAATTTCAAAAGTCGTTACTTTTGGCTGATTTGTCTGCGGTCTCCGCTATCTCACTACGTCCCTCTAAAAGTCGCTATGGTTGGGAACACTGGTGAGCAAACATCTAGGGTCTAAATAAGGTAAAATGTAATCGCCAATAAAAAGGAGGAAAAATGTAAGATTTAAAACTATAATTTCTTGTGAACAGCAGTTTGGGCCCCCCTTCCAAAATGGGCCCTGTGCGAATGCACCTGTTGCACCTGCCTAGTTACGGCTCTGGGTAAAACGACCAATAATGACTTTTGTCATTCTCTTTGCTCGTCCTCTACCCATTCCAATCCAAAAAATGTATTGTAAGAGCTTTATTTAGCGATTATTTATCGTTTGGGATTTCGCAAGGATATAGACTTTCAATTGCTACAACGGTTGAGTTCCCGGGTCCCACGGAAGTGCAATCGTGCTCCTGGGCACTCAACCGTTGTACTAATAAAGTCCATAGCCTTGCGAAAGTCCAAACGATTAGACTCGGAAATAATTGCCAAGTAAATCTTTTACAATACGGAAACAATATTTTTCATTGTCTTCCGATAAATATTGTTTCTTTAACAATGTAGATCGAAACAATGAATATGCTTATTTATTAAATTTTTTATGTGAAATATTTATGAATTAATAATTTTATTTTTTATTTTGAAATTACTGTCATATTATACAGTATTTAAATATTCTGTTAGTTTTACTTTATTTTTGTACAATAGCAAATTGTTGTTAGTTGTAATAGTAGAATTGCCAGACAGAGAACTATTAATGTCCGGACGTTGCCACGAACATTCCCTGAGAGCTATTCAAATCAGATATTTTTTATTTATTTATTTAAGTATTCAATTGAAAAACTGACTTTTTTACATTACATTTATAAGCATTTTAAAAAATAAAATGTTGCATTTGTAGAGTAATTTATTTAAAATTAAAATTTATTGAAAAAACTTTATTATTTTTTGTTTAGTAATGACATTTCACATCTACAGAAACACAAGATTGAATCGTAATTTACACATTGCTACTATTCTGTTTCTTTTATTTCAATATATATCCGGTCTAAACACCTCAATTTTCTAGGAATTATCAGATCTACAGACGCTGTAATTACTAGCCAATCAAGAACTTTTTATTTTATAAATGACTCATTTATAATTAATCTTTTCTCTTCAAAATTTACATACCTAATAATAATTGAAGTTTGTTCCTTATGGGAAATATCAGGAGTACAATCCATTTGGATACTATAGTATGTGGCTGCTTTTATATCGTCTTTAATTTTGTCAAGGACTTCATCTCCTAACGCAGAAATAATTTGTTCTTGTGATCTATGTGCTAAATGATGCACGATTCTGTTTATATGATACATTAGAACAGAGTCGTATTTACTTAAAACTACGACTATATGCAAATATACATATAATTTTATATGGCCGACGGCCACAGTATTATTTCATTTCTTAACGCGGGCTATATGGTATTGAGATTTTTTTTTTAAAGTCGAATTTAGGTGGGGATTCTCGGGAGTTTCCCGAATCAAATAACAAAAACTAAACATTCGCATCACCGAGAATTAGTTTGAAGATTGTCGAAATTCAGAGATTACAATAATAATGTTTACGATAAAATGTACTTTTCGTCATACTGACAACGATAGGAATATTGTCGAGTTTTCTTGTGCATTCTTGACAATGTTAGGGCCCCCTCAATCGCGGGGCCCCGGTGCACAGCAACCGCCGCACCCCCCGACGGCCGGCCCTGGGTTAGAACAAAAAAAAAAAAAATACAAATCTGGATATTTTGGGGAAATTTTTCCGGAAAATGGGTCCGCGCGGCTACCCTAATTTCCGGATTCGATTATACGTCGAACGAAATCCACAACGAACGGGCGGAAAAGTCGGGAAATTTCGCGTCGGATGTACACGATGGAACGTTTTATAACCCGAATAAAGTCATTACGTAGCGTTTTGTCGTTATAAGAACACTCGCGCCTCGCCATTCGTAATAAAGGCGTCGGCCGATCGTTCCGAGGTCTCGAGTTCGAGTTCGGCCGGAGAGTTCTGGAAACTTTTCACGGCCGACCGGCTATCTCTTTGTAAATCGGGCCTAACCAACCATCGATATAATTAAAAACGTATTTTTAATAATAATAATCGAAATTTAATAGACGATTTAAAAAAAAAAAAAAAACGAGAAATTTCCTACTGGAGTGAACTGGCAACGTTACCCGACGAGTGGAGGCGCGAGACTCGAAGTGAGAATGGAGACGAGTGGCGTGTGGCTGAGCAAGGCGGAAAACAAGGTGAGTAAAACTCTGTCGAAAGTCTTCATTTTTCGATGGTCCTTAATCCGTTAATATCTGTAGATAGGGTTAAATTTAATCTTCGTAATCTTTAAATAAATTTAGAATGTTTAATGGACTTTAACTTTGAACATTTCTAGGAAAAAAGAGATACTTCAAACATGTGATTAGTAATTAAATAGTTTGTTGTATGAGTAAGTGAATTAATGTCGGTGGATCATTCCTAAGCGGAATAATTCTATAAATGAGATGTCTTATGTAAAACTTGTACCTAATTTGGACGTACAAATTCCAATGTTTCCACTGATTCTAGTTTCCTATGTTTCAGACTAAAGAGCAAATGATTTTTAAGAAGTACAAGAGGAAGCAGAGGTTCGTAGACAAAATTAATCAAAAGAAAATAACTGAGTTTTTGAGCGTTAAAACCGACGAGGAAACGAAGGAGACGGAGAACCGTCGGTCCGATCGTTCCGTTCGGTGTTGCCTTCCGAAATCCCCTTTCCCTTTCAAAAAAGACGGTTTGAAGGAAGAAGAACGTTCTGCGGAAGGGGAGGAAATTTTCTCCGGCCGAGACGAATGCCGGGAACGCTTGACTGAATTGTCGTCTGCGTACGATGACCGACGTCGGGAAGACGAACGTTTCTCGGAAAGTTTGGATTTGCATTCCAGTTTAGAACTTCGACCGTTTATCCCGGTTGACGGTTCCTTTTCCGGTTGTGATCTTTGGACGTCGTCGATTCCAGAAGCCACGATCTACTCCTTCCCAAACAATAGAATGTAGAAGAAAGAAAGGAAAGGACGTTCCTGACAAAAATTTTATATCGCTGTGTAAGTGAATTTTTACAATAATTAGTTGAAATTGGTAGAAAACACTTAATTTTTTTTTTACTGCCATTAAGGCAGTAAAAAGAAAAACTGGTTTTCATTGACTGTCAAAAACAAATTGTTTTTTCTGAATGATTTTTGCTACTCTATCTTTCTTTCTTTGAATGTTCTGTCAATTAAATTGTGTAATTCCTTCAGAATTCCTGACAAATGTTGTTCTATTACTTTAATAATTGCAGTCTAAACTGTAAGAGAGATATTCTCAAACCCTTTCCTTCTCGTATCAAAAATTATCATTGAATCAATGATGCCCCGATCCAGTATCTTGTAAAAATATCTAAATGGCCATCTAAGAGTTTTCCTGCCCATGGAATGTGTGTAAAGTAATTGATCAAAAATTTCCACCCTAATTTTTATCCGGGGATGGAAAACCAAAATAAAAATTTATTTATTTTGGTGTTCCGTTCCTTCCTTTTTTCTTTGTATAATTTGTCAGAAAATGACAGTATTTTGAATTCTTGCAAGTACGGGTATCCCTTGTATAATGTGGTAATGTGCCAAAAAAGTGCCGCATTATGTGAATGCTATACAACAATACAAAAGACTAATACAAAACATGGGGTATGTTCCAGAAGTTAACAAAAGTATACCATTCTTTTTCATTACTAAGAGAAAAATGTTTATTAAAGCAATTGATAATTTATTTCCAATCAATAATTAACTAACAATCACAATTAAAAGCAATATATTATGCATTAATATTAATTTTAGTTAAACAAGGGTGTTTTCTTTTTACAAAGTATCATTGTCTTCTAAGCTTTTCTGTTGATCTTGATCAGAAGTATCGGCAACATTTTCATATTTTTTAGTTTTAGATTTATAAGCATTATATCGGCTTTTCTTTGTTACTAGGCTTACTACAGCAACATTCGGTACAAGACCGGCTTTAGAAAATCACATTTTATTTCCGAGAGAATGCATTTCGGACCTTAAGTCCCTCGTCAACTCTTTATGATGTAACTATATTTAGGAAATATGCCTACAAGCTTAATTATGTTAACAGGAAAAATATCTTTTTTAAAAAATATTTATTTTAATTTAACTTGCATATTTATGAAATGTACAGTAAGGACGATAATAGGTACAATACCTGAGTATAAATTATTGATTTCCTGGTATTTGCTATAATAACAGTAGAATGTTAACAATTTTACATCATACATACTGTATTTTTTAATGTAAAATTGTAATATGTTGGTACGATAAATAAGATAAGCAGTGAAAAGCAAACAGTGTACACAGCGAAGGACACTGTTAAAACTACAATATAGCTAACAGTTTTACCGTTAAAACAATGAAATAAAAAACCTTTTTCACTGTTAAGACACCAAGACCATAAACTTGTTTACGGTGAAACTATAATACGATGAAGTGATGTGTAGAAAAAAATTGGAAATTTGCCACCATTTTTCCTTTTATTTACCCACTCCCTCCTCCCACACACCTTTTGGTCAGATATAAGTACTATGTTTCATGAATTTTAGGCCAAAATTATTATTCATAATTTTATTTTTGTTTTTAATTATTTCCAAATGCTCATACCATCTTCTTTTTTGACTATTTTAACAGTGTCCATCTGCTACAGCTGAGTTGTTATACTTAATTGCGGATATGTGTTCTTTAAGACAAATCTTAAAATTCCTGCCAGTTTCCCATATATAAGATTTAGGTATGGTACAGCTGGATTCTAATTTGTAAATAACATTTTTTTGATCCCATGTATTAACCTCATTGATGTGAGCATTTATTTTCCTATTTAGACTATGAATTTGTTCATATACTAAAATTATACTACATTTGTTAATTAAACAAATTTGATTCTTTCAAAGATATTCTGTTCATATGAGATTTTGAAAAATTTATAAGGGGTATTGTTACTTAGTTGTTTGTGTTTATTATCTTCTCTATTGCTAATCCAGTTGTCGATTATGCGTTTTCTATAGCCATTCATTAAATATATTTTTATAACGTTTGTATTTCAGTTAAAGGTCCAAAATGCATTCTCTTGGAAATAAAATATGATTTTCTAAAGCTGGTCTTGTATTGAATGATGGTGTAATAAGCTTAGGAACAAAGAAAAGCCGATATAGCACTTATAAATTTAATCCAACACTAGGCAAGAAGCATATTATTAATTTTTTTTAGTTTTATCATAAAATTTTTATGCATAATGAAATAGAAATAACTTATTAATTGAAAATTTCTAGCAGGTTGCATACTGAACGACTTTTTTCCATAATTTGTATTTGAATACCGAATTGTTAGAGTATCAAGATGCTACCATATTTTGTCATAAAGTACTACTTAACTATGAATGAAGTAATTCATAGGTAAGTAATACTTATAGTTAAAAAAGTTAAATAACACTTACCTAAAATTATTTAAATAAACTTTATTAAATACTAAGATTGGTAGGAACGTAAACAACAAGGACACCTGGTTGATAAGACAAAGAACTTGCACTAACTTTCCTATCAGTTTCATAAAACTGATGAAAAGCACAAAATAATTTAAAAATGTCACTAGTCTGAAATTTGCCAACAGATTTTAGAAAACACCCTTACTTGCTTAAATAAAAATTAACAAAATTTACACTTAAAAACTGAAATTTTGTATGGAGGATTTCCAAAACCAGAAGTTTTGTATGGAGATATCCCCAATTTTCAGACTGTGTTGTACAAGCGATACCTGTATTTTTGTTTTTATTTTCTCATCAGTAAAAAAGTTTCTCGTGATAAAAATGAGTAATTAATTTTAAAATAAAATGAAACCTTAGACATCCCTTGGGGATTAAGTAAAGGGGGCATGTGCCCCAATGTATGGGGACCCCTGACTGGTACGTTTACAAAATTATAAAATCAACAAACAAAGCTGTAAAGTGTTTTTTTATTGACAAGGAATGTATTACTTTAGTGATATATTACTGAAACTATAAAGTATATAATGAAATAATTATATGAATAATGATCAAAAAACTTTTACTCTAAATTCCATTTTGTAGCTGAAATAAGTGGCATAAATATTTCACTGTATAATCATTGCACAAAACATCCAACATGTTGAATCAACGACCCTTGCAGTCAATGATTGTACAAATTTTTAGTTTGAGTTTGAGATTAATCTAAGGTTAAGCTTAAAGTTTGTCTCATTAGAATAAGTGAAAGAAATTTTTAAATTTAAACATGTGGAGGATGAACTGAGAATTTTTTTTATTCGCATATTCCACCATATTGTGTTCAAAACTTAGTGATGCCTTTCCTTATCACACAATGTTACATAATCAGTAAAGAGAGAAATTTTGGATAGAAAAAACTGCTAAAAAAAGATGAATGTTTGTTTACTCCAGATAATGAAATATTTCTGTATTATTTAAACTACAGTAAGACGAGATTTAAATTGAACATAAGTAAAATAATGGACAGAAAAATTTTTAGAGCATCATTAAGTCTACATGAGAAACTTTAGTGAATGCTTGACTTAATTCATCTTCCTCTCTCCCAAAAGATGTTTGTATAATGAAAAGCATCTTTCTACCTCTACTGATATGAGAGAAACTAATCTGGGAGCAGTCTGTCTGCATTTGACAAGTAGTTGATTTGTAAAAAAAAATCCTTTCAAGTTGTTGTTAACTTCATTAATGATGATCCATTGTTTTTCTTTTTCTACACCTTTCTCTTCAAGTTTAGTCACACAGCTTCTACTAGGAACGTGTAAGTATGAACTGAGAACAGTTTACTCTGGAGTGCACCGTTAGCTAGTTGTTTAAGTGAGGATCCCACAGCCGTTTTAAATGTAAAGTATTCAGAAAATTTGAAATTTGATGAACGTTTAGCAGTCAGTATCCCATGATCAATTGTGACACATTGGAGGCAGTGGGAGATTTGTCAATTCTTGACACATGTATCCTTGCTAGACACTTCACTAGTATCTTGAAATATGTTATGCATTTATTTGTGAAGCAAAATTCATCTCTCATTGTCTTGTAGATTCTGTGAATTGCATGAGCTACACAGGTGACGTTTCAAATTCTGATACTAGGATTTGCAAAGAAGCATGTAATTTGCAACAGGTAAAATTTATTTGATTTTGTGAACAGAGTTATGAAACACATCAAAAAGCCAACAAAATCAAAATTGTACTTTTTAATTCTTGCCCTGAGGTGCCTCAGGGCAAGAATTAAAGAGCATGATTATAACCTTGGGTCCAGATTCACGAAAGCATCGTAGCGCAACTTACAACAAATGTTTGTTGTAAGTTCTGATACAACAAAACTTGGTACAGTAGAGCCTCGAAAACTCGGCATGCGATAACTCGGCCACACCTTGGCAGGGCGAAAACGAACTTAGGCGAACTTAACTTTCCCGTTTAAACTTAATCTTTTTATATGGAATGAAGATAGCGCTGATTGACCAATGAGTGCTTCGTAGTCCTATTGGAGATCCTTGTGATCGTCCGATGTTCGACGGCCAATCATCTATTCTGTTTTCAAAACTAACGGTCATTTCTCGATCCATATTTCTATGGCGACAACCGTTGCTTGTTTGAAAAAGAGGAAAAGCGCGGGAACCATACATCTAAACGATTCCATCACGACAACAGTACTCTGCGATGGCATCTTCTGTTAAAAGAAAACAAGTGAGCATGTCTATGGAGCAAAAGTTGCAGGTATTAAAGAGACTGGATGACGGAGAAAGTGTCAGTGCAGTGGCTAAGGACTTGGGAGTCGGCAAAAGTACGATTGGAGACTGGAAGAAGAAGCAGATGGAAATCGAGTCGTGGTGTGTTAACAGAATGTGTACAGAAACATTGAAAGAAAGGAAAAGTATGAAGGAAAGTGACTTTAGTGAGGTGAGTGAAGCACTTTACATTTGGTTTTGCCAAAGAAGAGAGAAGGGCATGCCAATTAGTGGGCCAATCTTGCAAGAGAAAGCCTTGAAATTTTA